GCCGGCCGACTTCCGCCTCGGTCTCCGCGGATTGGCCGCCGCTGCGCCCGCGCGAGGCGGCCCGCGCGCGCGAGTTTGCTTCCGGGTCGCGGGCTCCAGGCCTAGGCGCGGAGGCCGCTGGGAGCGCGAGGTCGCCGTGGTGTCCGTGTGCGCTCGGAGGCGGCTGCGTGGGACCCAGGCCGATTGAGCGGCGGGAGGAGGACGGATCGCCTTCCTGGTCTTACCTGGGGCGGGGAGAAGGGCAGGTGGGGCGGCGGCGGCGGCGGCGGGGCGGGGCGGGCCAGGTCGCACCCGCACGCTGGGCTCCGGAGAGTCCCGGGGCGCCCGGGACAGCCCAGGTCAGGCTTCCGCAGGCCGGTGCGGAGGTGTGGTCGGTGGGGGCGGCGGCGCGCCCCCCCCCCGCCGAAAACCCCGCTTCTCCCTCCGGATGCTGGCCTTTTCTCTTCTCGAAAACCGGGAGGAGTGTACACGGGCATCCTCCGCCCCCCGCGCTCTCCGACCTGGCAGGGCTTTCGTGGCTACATAAGCTGGGTCTTTTGGGTTCTCGGAATCTTTTGAGGCGAGGCTCCTGCTTTTTGAGCCTTCCTCACGTTGTGACCTGCAAGGGAGCCGATTACGTTAGGATAGCTGTTGCAGGGGGACATGGGTCAACAAAAGGTTGTCCAAGAATTGTGTTCATGTACTGCCGTTGAAGTTCACGCTTTCCCCAGGACACGCAGTCACTTTGTCATTGAACTTTGAAGTGTGTGTGTGTGTGTGTGTGTGTGTGTATGCACACACACACACACACACACATATATATAATTTTTTTTAACTAGCCTGTTTGCTGTTATTTGAGGTTCCGATGAAATACAAACAGGGTGTCTGGTGGAGTCAGGCTGAGCTGAGAATTTTTAAAGCTCAGTCATAGCAGTACTGTATTTTTACAAGAGCTTTGGTATGTCAAGTGTGACAATGCTCGTGATAGTCCTATGAGAAATAGCCTTATTCTACAGATGACAGAAACAAGGGAAGTGACTTGACCTAGGCCACACAGTCAGAAGAAGGAGAACAGGAATACAAACTCGGGTTTCATGACAGGTTTTTTTTTTTTGTATTAAGAGCTGCCTGAGAAGTCATATTCTGTGTACAGCCCAAGCCTTGCAATTTGTTTTGAGAACTTTTTTTTTTTTTTAGACGATTAAACAAGTCTTGGAGAACGAGTTTTGGAACTTCACAAGGATGGATACTAACTATTATTTTATAAAATGTGAGTTTACTGTGTTGGAAATAACGTGGTACTACTTTTTTTTCAAAGCGTGAAAAATGACAACAGCAGCCAGGCCAACTTTTGAACCTGCGAGAGGTGGAAGAGGAAAAGGAGAAGGCGATTTGAGCCAACTCTCAAAGCAGTATTCGAGCAGAGACCTACCGTCCCACACAAAGATAAAATACAGGTGGCAAAGCTCAAATCCGTTAATGGCATGGTCACGTATGGTAGTATGCTTGTGTTATGTCGCTTAAATTACTTATTTTCATAGGATTAGAATGCAGTAGAGTGTTTAACACTAAAGTTTTGCTCTGACTTGGAAACGCTACCAGACATTCTTTCCATAGAAATTACTATTAACCAGGAATTTTCATACGTAGATGGAACAATAGATATGTTACCTCAGAGAGACTGCACTGTAAGCACTTGCATGAAATTTAAAGTGTTATTGTAACAAGCCCTGAGTTGATGTACAGTAATAAAAATGACCTTTGCATCGGTCTGCAGTCTTACAGGAAACTGTGTGATCAATTTGAATTTGAAATGTTGGAAACCTCAGAAGACGGCCTGTTAGCAACCTTTAATTTAGGTCATGATCTTGTCCATGTCCCTTTTCTGTGCTTGAGGGTCAAAGTCTCATTCCAGAATTGTCCTCCATTGCTGCAGGCCTGTGGGTTTTTTTTGGTTTTGTTTTTTTAGTAACATTTTGCTATGGTTTGTTTGTACTTTAGACAAACTACTCAGGATGCCCCTGAGGAAGTTCGTAACCGTGACTTTAGGAGAGAATTGGAAGAGAGAGAGAGAGCTGCTGCAAGAGAAAAAAATAGGGATCGTCCAGCCCGAGGTACCAGCACTGTCCCAGACATTTGTTTCATGAAACTCTGCTGGCGATAGTTCCCCTTTCGTGTGCTGACTGGAAAGGGTTAATATTTCCATTTGTTTGCTTTGAAAGATTTAGTTGCCACATGTTCGTAAATGATTAGAGATAATGAGGTTCATTCATATTTTGTCTTTTCTGAATTAGAAGGGACAGAGGGCTCTAGGGATATTTAGGGGTGATCATTTCCACACAGATCAAGGGGGTTGGGGCTGTTTATGGTCTCTGTCTATGAGAGTCTACTATTTTTGTAACTGGATATTGGAGGGCATTCAGAGGTATCAGTTGTAATATCATTTTTATGTTTCCAGCACGTATAAACTACTAAAGTCAATACTTTTATTAATGCATTCAACAAATGGTTACCAAAAGTCTTTCTCAGGCACTGTGGGTATGATCCCTGCCATCATGATGCTTTTAGTGTGATGCCTTTTGTCCACAGGTCTCTGAAACATTGTAAGAAATGCAGTGTTTGTTTTGTAAACTAAATGCTGTCTGTTTCCCACAGAACATACCACCTCCTCGTCGGTGTCAAAAAAGCCTCGGTTAGATCAGATTCCTGCTGCCAACCTAGATGCAGATGACCCTCTCACGGATGTATGTTTCATTTCCTCCTTTTATCTCTCTAATTATTTATTATGTTTTCCTGGAATACTTTTATGCTTTTGGCTTTAAGATGGCCTGCGTTTATTTTTACTTCTGTTATTCACATGTAGCTCTGACCTCAGTCCTAAACTTTACAGTTGATTTTAAAACAAAAAAGTATTATTTTGTGGTAAGAACTTCAAGAACAAGTTTGATCTATAAAAACCAAATGCAGAAGCAATCTGTTAAAGGATATGCATCCCCCAAATAATTCCCTGGACCGCCCCTGGAGACTGGGCGACCGACCATGCCCTGAACTTGAGAGAGCACTCTTCTTACTGGGCTCTCTGGAGGCAGCACCTCGAGAGCTGTGCCCAGGGGCCTTTCCACGTTAGGTATGATGCCCCTCCAAACTCAGTGATTCCCTGTGCTTAGGGAGGGGAGTAATCTAAGCGGGAGGCTTCTAAGGATTACCATGCAACGTTAAGGTCAGGGGTACCCTACTGTCTGTCATTAATTTGCAGTTTTCTGCAGATAGTAAAGTAAAAAAGAATCTGAGTGGCCTCTTATGGGTCAGTATCTGGTTATATTTATATATCCACAATTATTTCTAGAGTTGAATGGAGTTAATAATTAAAACAGGAAACCCAATTTTAAGTTAAAATTAATGATTATTTGTTTGCAGTTACTTTCTGGGAATTTCATGCTTGTTTTTGCACTTCTGATATCCTTACTTTCTAGCTTAAAGTTATTTTGAGCTACATAAAATTAGTTTGACACTCAGGGTGACACACTGTACCTCTGTACTGTGTTTTAGTGTAAAGTATTTCTTTTCTGTTTTTAGAAATGTTTTCATATGGAAATTCCTTTTTGGCCATGTAAATTTGAAAGGTACTTTGTCAGGGATTGACATTTTAGTAAGTATTTATACATTTTTTTAATGGGGTTTATTTCAGTTTTTGGTTGGTTGTTGATTTTAATTGTGGTATTTAGGTCCACTTATCTTACCCCATAAGAAAATTAACTCTGTCTCAGATTTGGTAAATGCAATTTTATGGAAAAAAATGAATAATGTGTATTTTCTCTCCAGTCTCCTGGGCCATCACTGTTCTTTTTTTAGGAGGAAGATGAAGATTTTGAAGAAGAAAGTGATGATGATGATGATACTGCAGCACTTCTTGCAGAACTAGAAAAAATTAAAAAAGAAAGAGCTGAAGAACAAGCCAGAAAGGTAAATTCTAAGTCTTAAATATTTACGTTTCTCGCCTTCTCACACATACTACAGGAGAAATGTCTGAGTTCAAGTAATACCACCTGATATTAGAAATTTTCCTCACCATGCCTAAATACTGTAGCAACTGTAGATCTATGCATCTGATTCTTTTTGTGACATCCTAGGTATCCTGGTTATGTAAGAAATTCTCTCCAAATAGTTCAGATAGGCTGAATAATACTCATCAGGTTGTTAGTCATCCACTTGGTTGTTATTCAGCGCACGTTTGACCAATATCTTTTAATTAAGCCGAAGAACCAAAGATGATTAAGGTAGAGTCATGGTTTCTCTCCCCCATGCCACTCTGGCATGTCTCCCTTTTCTTTTCTCTCTCCTTTCTCTAGTACATTTTGTTTTAAAACTTAAAAAAAAAAAAAAGCAGTCATGGTCTACAAAGGTTCTTTGTGTCTCCTAACTAGGCACTGTTGAGGCAATCTGTCAATAGCTTGTATATGATATAGGACAAGTTGCCTGAGACAAGTTAGGGATGTGTGGGAGAAAAGGATATCTAAGTGATAGATAGTTACAGCTTAGAATGAGTCACCCAGATTGGTGAGTACAAGGGTTGAAACTCTGGAGGCAGGCACAGGTCAGAGCATTCAGGGCCTATAACAATGCCAAAGTGGTTTGAATTGTGTTCTGAAGGATGTGAAGAGCTGCCATCGGTAGGGTTGGATATGCATTCTAGAAAGATGGTTACTCTGGCAAAAATAGGGACGATGGATTGGAAAAAACTGAGGGAGCAGGCTGGTCCAGCAGTCTTCACATGCAGCTAAAGAATCTTGGCTTGTGTAAGAGAAGTTGAAATTGAGTGCAGTAAACAGATTCTGATGGAGCTTTCAAGGGATTGCGTTGACCAGATAGAGTGACTGTCTGTGGCAGTGAAGTGACCTCCAGAGTCTGGGTGGATGTTGGTGCCATACACGGGTCCAGGGGTGCCGAGCAAGGAGCGTGTTCAGGCAGAGAGGAGGGAGAACTCTGTGTTGAGTGACCCATGCTTGACATCTAAGCAGAGGTGGCTGTCCCCTTTCGGCCATAGCAGCATAGCTTTTTTACAGACTGCTGTGCCAGGTTTCATTTGCCGAGGATTGTTCTGTGTAGAAAAGGAGGGAAAAGCTGGGCTCGGTGGCTCAGCCTGTCATCCGCACCTTGGGAGGCTGAGGTGAGTGGATTGCCTGAGCCCACGGGTTCGAGACCCGCCTGGGCAATGTGGCGAGACCTCATCTCTACAATAAATGAAAAATGAGCTGGGCATGGTAGCGCATGCCTGTAGTTCCAGCTACTCGGAAGGCTGAGGCAGAAGGATCGCCAGAGCCCAGCAAGTCAAGGCTGTGGTGGCCGGGAGCGGCCACTGCACTCCGGTCTGGGTGACAGAGTGAGGCTCCAACTCAAAAAAGAAAAAAAAGAAAAAAAAAAGAAAAGGAGGGAAAGAGACTTGGGGGAGAAGACACTCCCAGGCTAGTGCTCAGGATCCAGGGAAGTGGAGCTCACTGGGACCAGAGAGCCAGGAGAACAGGAGGGGTTGGGTTTGACATCTGCTTCGAAGACTGCTAGGATTCAGGGTGGGAGGAAAAAACATTTTAAAATACAGCTCTCGTTACAGTCGGACATAGGAGCGCATAATTCCTGTCATAGCTTACGGGTTTTATGTCTAATTTTTAAAAACCAAAGAATTGCAAGAACGTTCCCAGTCTCCCCTGGACACCACCAGAGGGTGGTTGACCCCCATTCTTCTAGCTGGCCCAGCAGTTCTGGATACCTGAAGAGAGGAGCGACTTAAATGCTTTTGGTCAGCCTTGGGAGGATTGGCGTTTCAGACAGAAGGTTTTGCAGTTTTGTGAGTTTCGTCTGATCTTTTTGTGCAAAAATGGGTTGTTATTTCTTGGGGTTGAATAACTGTTTTGTTTCTTTGTCCTCATTTCTCTTTCTGTTGGCTGGTTTTTGAAGTGCCCCCAAATAAGATTCTCAAACCGATTAGTCTATGTCAGGGATCAGCACAGTTTCTATAAAGGGCCAGATGGCAAACATTGAAAGCTGACTGCCCATACAGCCTCTGTTGCCACTACAGGACCCTGCTCTTAATAGCACAACAGCAGCCATGGGCAGTACATGATTGAATGGGTGTAGTTACACTGTAACATTTATTTCCAAAAAAGAGGTAGATGGGATTTGATTGTAGCCTGTGTTCAGGAAGCATAGTGTGCTTGGTATTAGGATTCGGAAGGAGTTCGGGCCTTCTTTTTCCAGTGCAGTCATCCAGGAACTAAGGGATCTAATATCCCAAATAAAAAGGCCAGGATCTTATATGTCACACACATTAATTATAAGCTTGGATACATTGTATACTTGAGCTCCTGTTTTTCTAGCTTTTCTGCTTTTCTAGTTTTTCTGTCTTTTCAAGTATCAGTATAATTTGCAAAAATGAATACATAGTTTTTAGACAGCGATTTGCTAAAAATGAGTACATAGTTTTTAGACAGTGATCTGTTCTTAACATCTGATGGATAGTTTCTGGTTTTATTTAAGGTCTGAGCAGTGATCTAAAGGAATGTTCTTGTTTGTTTCTCTGCACATTGCATCTCCTCACCTCCCAGTTAATTTGTCCTCCTAAAAGTGAAATCCATTGTTCACATCTGGATGTTAAACTTTGCACTTGGATATCTGAGGGGACATGAGATTGCTGTTATACAGGACAAACTCATGCTAGTACACGTTTTTCAAAAACGTATGTTTTCTTGAAGTTTGCCATTCAAATTGCACGACAAAGCAAAGAGATGGACTATATACTGAGATGTACATAAAAAAATAATTGGCATTACATAGAAAGAGAATATATGAAGTGCTTTCACAAAAGTGCACAGACTAAACAGTAAATTGTATATTATTAGTGTGGGAGGAAGAAAACGAGATTGCATTGTCTGCTCAAATAGAAAAGCACCAGGTGGGAGGTGGCCAACAAATTACTATTGCACAACATGTATCAGTGAACCTGCAATGCATGTCGGTGACTGTTCCACACATTACTACACATTAGGAAAATATAAGATATTTTGTGGGTTTTTTTGGTCATAAGTAAGTTCTTCAATGTCCAGAATTTTTTTTTATAAGCCAAATAACGTTACAATAGACTAATTGGTTCTAACACTATACTATTTAGTAGGAAGTGATTTCAGTTTTCACTGTTTGGTAAAGTGCAATTGAGTGGCTGGTAGGTGACCTGTCTCTGAGTACAAAGGGCTAAAATGAAGTGTTAGGCCTGGTGTGGTGGCTCATGCCTATAATCCCACCACTTAGGGAGGCCAAGGTGTGAGGATCACTTAAGTCCAGGAGTTCAAGACCAGCATAAGCAACATAGTGAGACCTTGTCTCTAAAAAGGAAAAAAACTTAAACTAGCTGCACATAGTGGCACATGCTGGTAGTCCCAACTGTTTGGGAGGATGTGTCAAAAGGATTGCTTGAGCCCCGGTGGCCAAGACTGCAGCGAGCCACGGTTCTACCACTGCACTCCAACCTGTGCATCCGAGGGAGGCCCCAACTCAAAAAAAAGGAAGATGGATTTAAATGTGAATCACTTAACATTTCAGAGTTAGAAGAGACTAGTGTGCCATGGCAACAGTAACAACATTTATTGTTGCTGAAATATTTATAATAAAAATGCCAGGTTATTTTATTTGATGAGTGAGACTACTTCTGGTATGTCTAAAAAACAAACAGAAAAGCTTAACTTAATGCTTTTCTTCCCATAAAATTTCAATGGTCTCTCTTTTTTTTTTTAATGAGCTAAGATAAGAAAATTGAGACCAGGTATAGTGGCTCACACCTGTAACACTTTGAGAGGCCAGTGTGGAAGTATCACTTGAGCCCAGGAGTTGGAAACTCACCCGGGCAACACAGCAAGATCCCATCTCTACAAAAAATTTTTAAAAAATTAACTGGGTGTGGTGATGTATACATGCCTATAGTTGTCGCACTTTGGAGACTAAGGCAGGAGGATCACTGGAGCCAAGGGGGTGGAAGTTACAGTGAGCTAGGATTGAGTTGCTGTATTCCTTCTCCAGAGGGAGACCCTGTGTTTTGTAAAAAAAGAAAAAAGAAAATTGGACCCAGAGTTAGTATAGGTAAATGTGGGTCTTCCTTTATTATTGACAGGAACAAGAACAAAAAGCTGAAGAAGAGAGGATTCGTATGGAGAACATTCTGAGCGGAAACCCCCTCCTTAATCTCACTGGCCCATCCCAGCCTCAGGCCAGCTTCAAAGTTAAGAGAAGGTACTGTACAGTCACGGGCTGTGTGGACGCACACCAACACACTTGATGAGTTAGACATCAACGTGCATTGTGCAAAGCCTCTTTGCTTTTGGAATGATGGTAGACCAAATGAAAGAAAATAATTTCATTTTCAGTCATTAGTTCTGACAGCCGGTGTGTACCAGAAAGCAGAGGTTCAGCATGAACTATGTGACTTACAAGCTCTTGACACCTTGGCAGTGAGAACATTGCCGAAATCCAGGCTTCCAAATGCCAGGCGAGGGCTGGCTTGCAAGCGCTTCCTGAGGAGAGCGGTCTGAGGCCTGCTCTGATAGTGCTTTTCCATACGGTTGTGTGTACTTAGAGGGATCAAGAGAGGGCTGGAGAGGGAGCGTGTGGACTGTGAGTGCCGTGTGTGACACTTGTGTGGAAAGAGAAGCAGGGACGCTGCTTCCCCCAACACTCGCTCCTCCTCACCTCTGGGCGCTGCAGTGCCATAACACTCTCCTGCATGCTCACCACCCTCCATTCGTTTTGGTGCTGGGAGGAGGGACAAAGAAGGCTGTTGAATGAGTTGTATAGAGTACGGACACAGGAAGAACCACCCATGGTGAGTTATGAGACACGTTTCTTCACAGGAAGAAACCACCCATGGTGAGTTATGAGACACGTGTCAGAAAATAAAAAACATGATTTCAGAATATGCTCTAGCACATCAAACAAGGCCACATGCACGACACAGACATCCCTTGAGTCTATGCAAATGCCAGGCGAGGGCTGGCTTGCAAGCGCTTCCTGAGGAGAGCGGTCTGAGGCCTGCTCTGATAGTGCTTTTCCATACAGTTGTGTGTACTTAGAGGGATCAAGAGAGGGCTGGAGTGGTTGCGTGTGTGTAACAGCGCAGCAGTGTGGTGTGTCCGTCTTCCGTGGGTGCAGGTGGACTTGGAGCTACAAGCGCCTTTATATCCAGTGACAGGGTCTGCTCGACTTGTGCTCTTGGGCGCTGCTCCAGTGATACTGTACTGTCTGTCCTCCAGAAGTGCCTGCATTCCCTGTGCATTTTCATGGCACGCAGACACATGTACACACGAGCACACACAGGACACAGGCTTGTATTTGCATAGACTCGAGGGATGTCTGTGTCGTGCATGTGGCCTTGTTTGATGTGCTAGAGCATATTCTGAAATCATGTTTTTTATTTTCTGACACGTGTCTCATAACTCACCATGGGTGGTTTCTAACACGTAGGCTTTTGAAATTCAACCAGGTCTGCGCTCCGTTCTTGGCTGATGTTTCTCCATGGCTAATGTAGTTGTGGGCCATGTGTGAGCCTTAATTGTTAAGCCCTAGTAATTCCTTCTCCTTTTGTGCCCTGTAATGTGAACACTACAGAGGACGATTGCAAAGTGTCAGCAATAAGAAGGAATGTATAAAGTCCTCATATTCTAAACTACAGTAAATGGATCCATTACTATCATCTAGAGATGTCTATACTAGTATCAGGGTGGTCCTTAAGTGTTCCTCTTTGTTTTAGACCTGAAACATTAAATATTTATGCTCTTAAAATCTGTGTTTCCAGCTGGGCTCAGTGGCTCAGCCTGTAATCCCAGCACTTTGGGAGGCCGAAGTGAGTGAATTGCCTGAGCCCAGGGGTTCGAGACCCGCCTGGGCAACTTGGCGAGACCTCATCTCTACAATAAATCAAAAATTAGCCGGGCATGGTAGTGCGCGCCTGTAGTTCCAGCTACTTGGAAGGCTGAGGCGGAAGGATCACTGGAGCCCTGCAGGTCAAGGCTGCAGTGGCCGGGAGCGGCCACTGCACTCCAGTCTGAGTGACAGAGTGAGACTCCAACTCAAAAAAAAAAGAGAGAAAAAAAGAATGTAAACTATTACCCGGGCTCAGTGGCTCAGCCTGTAATCCCGTGCCTTTGGGAGGCTGAGGTGAGTGAATTGCCTGAGCCCGCGGGTTCGAGACCCGCCTGGGCA